AATATAAATTGAGAAGTTGAGGGGGTTTTTACCATAAAGGTTTCCTCCTATATAAATATTAGAGTTCGTAGACACCTGCATGGGCCATAAGGCGCCAAATCGGGCTAAATGAAATCAAATTCAAAATAATAATAATAATAATAATAATAATAATAATAATAATAATAATAATAATAATAATAATAATAATAATAATAATAATAATAATAATAATAATAATAATAATAATAATAATAATAATAATAATAATAATAATAATAATAATAATAATAATAATAATAATAATAATAATAATAATAATAATAATAATAATAATAATAATAATAATAATAATAATAATAATAATAATAATAATAATAATAATAATAATAATAATAATAATAATAATAATAATAATAATAATAATAATAATAATAATATAATAATAATAATAATAATAATAGTAATAATAATAATAAAACCCCCCCTTCATCAATTACTTCCATTAACCATCACCTGACTTATCTCTATACTGTCCTTCATAGTCATAGACTCAGTAGGGACTTCAATTTAATTCTATTCTATTCTATCTCTGTACTCCATAATTTCAACATAAGTTGGGGATACTCAGCCTCGCAATCTTGCAAAGCTATTTTAGGCAAACCACATTTCTAGCTCGACATCAGTCAATGAGAATGACCTAAAATTAGTTGAATGGTCAAATCTTTTATTTTCCTTAGGTTTAGAGTCATATTTATATACAGGCCTTTGATTCTGGGAAAATAGAATCAAGTTCTTTTTACCGAGTTATCTTTTTCAATCTCAAGTACACTTCGCCTGCCATAGGTCAGACACCTAGATACCTGAGACAATACTATAAGGAAATGGTTAAACTGTCCTTTGCAGCTATTGATGGTGACATGAATTAAGATGATGATTGTCATTGAAATAGATTTCTATATAGTTTATAATACATGATATGCTCAGGTTCGCATATCTCGAGCCAAGCAACCAGATTATGTTCCTCTAGATCTAGATTCATCAGAATAATTACTTACTCAGTAAAATTCTCCTAGTCTCAGTTATGTGTTTATGATCTTGATTATGTTTCTAGTAACTAGTCAATGATGTTTCTCATATCACTGAGACATAGTCATGGTTGATACAACAGGTACAAACGATGAATCGTGCCTGTACATGACGTTGTGATATAATCATGATCGTCTGCACAATATCAACTCATGAATGAATCATGTCTCTACATGACAAATACACTCTCAATCACACACTATCTTAGCCGTCCAACGCAAGTGTACAACCCCCATTTCATATCTCAAGTTAAACAAATATCAGTTTGCCAGCTCTTACGATACTTTTCTGCACCTAACGTGTTGGCTAAAAAGTGGAGGGCGCCTGCTTTAAAAACTCTCAAGGACGAGGGTTTGAAGGTGTTTCACGGGGTGCGTTGTAAAGCCTAGTGGAGATCTTGGTGGTAAGTGAAGTAATAAATGGGTCAAAGGGATGACAGGTCTTCTCTAGGATGAGATGAATGGGCAAATAATTGCGGTAGATGATACACGTGAGTCTTCCCGAAAAAGAGTTGGGTAAGCAAATGTATTGTTAATGATAAGTAAAGATTATGTTGCACGAGGAGTAAATCACTCTCACGCTGAGCTATTATGTACAAGAGCAAAAGCATTTGCCAGCCAGAATTAATCGTAATCAATTCTTGCCAATATTTTCGCATTAACGACTGTGTTCTTGTACTTCTCTTCATGACGCTTTTGTATTTTGTTTCACGACTTTTTACATGACTAATTGTATTAGGGGAAGCTATTATTAAATTGATAGTTTTAATTGTCTACCCCTTCATCTTATCACAAATTAATATTAGGATTAAGATTCTAATTACGGATCCGGGAAAGAAACCCTGCTCGGATCAAAGGGCCCACAACTGTTCAAGGAGCATGTCCTGGGCAACGGAATATACGCGATGACAAGTCGAGGGGTAACAATGTCTAGCATTGTATGAGATAGAAGCTATTGGTGATTGCAATTAAAATGAATATTGTGATGTCATAATATCTGTTGTATTAGTACATGATGTAATGAGAATTACTTATGGTGTTGCTCTTAGTTCGCTGTGTAACAATGAAGTTGGAAGTGCCAACTTTTAACTGGGAAGTGGTATGCGCCAGGTGGAGATAAGACGAATCTCAACAATTCTAGTTGAGAATGCGCATAATAAGTTGGAAAAATATGATAGAAACTGGGTCTAAATGTTGTGTGTATATAGACCTGCTTATATAGGAGAAAATAAAATTATCCGAATTTTACCATTATGAATTTATATGACACGAACCTCGGGTGAGTGGTAGCTGAGGCAGAGTGTTGGAAAGGAATGTTTTACCTTTTCCTTTTGTAGTGCAGGATTTTGAGCGGATATTCTCTTGTCTTTTTGGTCTGGCCGGCTGGATTCCTCATGATTCACCAAGTGGATGCATTTCGGCATGGTCGAGGTCATTAAGGCAGGACGAGGCATATTTGTGCTTGACTGTGCTTGACTGTGCTTGACTGTGCTTGACTGTGCTTGAATATGCTTGACATGACCGGCCCGGCCCGACTCCACTTTTCCTTAGGCTCCAGTAGGATAGATAGAATTTCTTCGTGACAGGCACAGACCCTGCACCCAAAGACCATGACGTTGAGTAGACTATCTTCCCCAACCGCTGTATACGACAACAATGAAGCTTGACATTTGGACCAATCATGTAATGAGTGCATTTACTGACATCACTCTAGACTTTGGTGCTAGAGACTTTCATTATTCCCTCAACCGTGAATATCTACCAAAGGGAAAACAGGAAAGAATTTTGGCTACCCTAACATGCCTTTTTCCATTTTGTATATAGTCGCCGCGTGAGATATGGCCTAGCAGTCCTCACTTTCTCGAGTGAGGTAAGTTTTCAGACTACCCAGACTTTAATTCGGGGAGATGACGACCAGCAGACGGACCACAACACCTTCCATCTTTGCCACTTTTTAAAATGTATGTGACACTATCTAAAATCGTTGCCTCAGCGCCAATAGACTCCCTTAAGTTGAAAAGACTCGAAAAATGTGAGTTCCAGCATGTCCATTTGTGACTTCTTCACTCGCTCAACCCACGTTCCGGCTGCCTGTCCATCCACAAGCCAGCCCCATTAGGAGCGCGATTGCTATCATTCTACCTAGCATTTTAATAAAAATAAAAATCCTTTAAGGTAAGCGTTGCATCACTAAGATTTTGGGTAATTTTGGGTAATTTTGCTAAGTAAATCTGTTTGCTTGCCGTTCCATAGACGAATGCGGTCGCGTGAATCTGGACTGAATTAAGCTTCTATGTTCAGTTTAGCACCTATATTACTAGTCTTATCAGAATCCATCATTGGGTCTAACCAAATTCTATTCTTCCCTAGCAGTCCTAGTTATTGATTGGTTCACAATTACTATTTTATAGCCCAGTCTTCTGAGTCGATGGATCCTAATTTTCTAGTCTGGGAGTTGCGATGGGTCGCAAGTCAGAGTCTGATGGTGTAATAATACAGCTGTGTTGTGCGATAGTAAGAGAAAAAAAGACTTACTGTCAGAGAAATGCATACATTTATCATGTTGTGTGGCGCTAGTTTTCAATTATACAACACTGGGATCTGGAATATTTCTGCAGTCAAGTTGCCAGATAACCTTTGCTTTGAAATTTTGCTGTTTATATCATGAGAGTTGTATTACATTAGTCAATTAGGCAAACTGAACCTCTTACTTCCCCAGGCATTCCCCACTTACAAGACCTTTAATATTCTGACATGTAAGGCAGCCCATGATGGAGGAGGCAAGCTCCTGTCTACAATTGGAGCAGCTTCTTTGTCGGTTACTGGGCTAAGGTTGAATTGAAAGAATCGTGAAATTGATAGGATCCACAATGATGTGAGGTCTTTGATTGTAGACATGCTTGTGTTCGGTTTTGACATCGATTCTTCTTGTATATCTCAACTATATGGGGCAGACTCACCACTTACACTGGCACCTCTTAAAAGTCAGGCCATCTCCTTTGCCCGTGGCCGTATCCAACAAACTGTAAATAAGTTTGCGACTAGGAGATTCTTGACATCAAATCGAAGGAAACGGGCAAGCATCAAGTTAACTATTCACGAGTCATTCGACCCATCATTACAAAACGAAATGGATCACTAGTCCTACAAGCTAATGGGCGAATGAGAGGGTATTGATCCAAAAAATGAGAGGAAATCGGGGAATAGTAGTCTGTGGATAACAGGACCTCGGTGGGGAGCGTTGCGTGATCAGCGAGAGTTTTTAGAAATGGAGACACAGAGTGTTGTGGACGTACGGGACCTCCATTTCGTCTAGGTTCCTGACACCATCTTGAGTGTATGTAAGAGGTTGGAATGAGTAATATAGTAGCGCTTCAGGCTACCTATTGAAGACATAAGCGGCTGTATGGCGTGGGCGCAAGGAGGTTATCGAGAGGTCTCTATGCATAGATGGCACCACATTTGTTTATGCTTTGGCTTAGGCTCTGTGTCGCTTACATTGGTACTTGTAGGGCAAACTTTCATTTCCTTTAGCTATCACCAAACATGACACTCTTTTAGTCAACTTCTTCTTTCGTTCCATAAATTTTGCGTCAATTTCATTGCGCGATATTTCCAACAAGAGTATCTCATCTGAAGCGTCTAGCTCTGCGAAAAAGAATGGGTGCAAATAGAGGGAAATTCTCCATTATATAGGCATGTTCACATTTCGGCCAAGAAATTTTGAAGGATCACAGATCAAGAGAAGAGACGAAAAGAATTACAAGCTCCACGCACCAATATCTTGCAATTGCCCAGATTAATAGGCACCATAGTCCAGCAAACAGATGGCAAGGATAGATATACAAGTATTTAAAATGGCCATTGCTCAGCAAATTTTTCCAGCGCTACTATCGATCGACAAATTTCATCAAGCCTAACTGATCTGTTATCATGCGCTTTTCTAGCATAGTCATAATCTTTCAAAGCGCAAGCATCTTTCTGACAGTCCTTGCTGTCTACACCAAAAGCCACATACCTGAGGAAAGAAAAAAATTTCTTTGTGGCGGACGCTCTATTACCTATAGCGAATATTCATGGTCAGCACTGGTGGAAACAACAAATGTGTCAGGAAATAGAATTTCTTGGTCTTGGGCTAATCAATTGAGTCACTTGATGAGCGATTCCAGTAATCAAAATTTTGTCTTGTTCGGACCAGAGTCTGAAGTTTCCAAGTTTTACATCCTCCAAGATTTGACAACAGGTATTATCCCTCCATTGTATTATAATGGCAAGACTAACAACCATGACCAGGTGGTTCTTCTGATAATCACAATCATGTATTTGAATATATCGTCCTTGTTGACAAGATTGAACGCACTTGTGGCATGATAATGAGAGTATTGAGTCGCCTTAACTCCAATAGTGCGAGTTCACCAGACCAAAATATCTCATTATGCTTCATTGAAGATTGAGATAATTACCATCAGACGAAGCAGATAAATTGAAGTGCTATGTGAGATTTGTACATTTATGACCTATCAACCTATAAGAATATGTTGAAGATGTGAGCTCTCCATGTATCATGGTACTGGGGCACTGTCATGTGATTTGTGCCAAGCATGCAAGTGATGTATAATGTGTATATACACCACTCTTACCTCCTCTGGCTTCACCGAATTCCGAACACTGAAACAATCGACCCTCTGATTCGGCCGCCATAGCTCAAAAGTAAGACACGGTTCAATAGTGTAAGGCGAGTTGCGCACCCTCCCATTAATCTCCCTTCTGGCATCACTTTCAGAGATCTAGCAGTCTATACAGATGGCGCTCGATCTGAGATAGCAGAATCGCCCAGGACAGGCGGTGGAATTGTTATCTTTCAAGCTGGCCAGATGGTTTACCGCGAGAGTCTGTCCCTTGACTCGATGCTGTCTCCTTTCGACACAGAAGTGACCGCCGTGAAAGAAGCCCTCAAAGCTGTGCTCTCCCTACCAACAGCACGCTTCTCAGAAAATATTTGGATACTCACAGATAACCTGGAAGTAGCCCGCCTTTTATTTCAGTCCCCAATTTGCTCGTCGTAAGTTGTTTTTCAACAAATACAAGCCCTCTCCCAAGACTGGCCTCTTCGCACCCGGCTCCCACACATCCCTCCCGGGAAAGTTAAGGCTTATTGGATCCCAAGCCACTCTGATATATTGGGTAACATTTTGGCCGACGCCTCTGTGTCATAGGACACTAGTCACGTGCTATATGGACGCTAGGACTAATATTGATACACTTTTATGTATATACATTGTTTAGTGAATCAACCTATCCCTCTCTCTCTACAGATTACAATCTGTAAGCACACTTATGCAAGCATAAGTCTGAACCCAGTCCATAAGCGAAGGTACGAACTACACAAGCACACATCGGTCTAGTAGTGATGATCAGGGGCGTTAATACGGTGGAATTAGATATTATAGTGCTACAATGAACTCGTAGCACGGAAATAATTTTAATCAATTCATTCTTGTATTCGCTTTCATCTCTAACGATTCACGTGACATTCACACGAATACCTCTCCAACTTTTACACAATCATATTATTGTTTTGCCTTTAGTCTTAGCCTTTCCTGAACCTTATGCTATCACATTGATTGTAATCTCCATTCAAGTCTAAACTACCTGTAACCAGCGACGCCTCGCAATTACTGGAGCTTCGACAACACATTTAACCCTGAGAATCATTTTAAATCTCTTTAAGACCCAGCGCCACAGAAGCCTGAATTTATTCACCAGACAGTGATACAAAATACCAATAATTATAGTCATAATGGCCACTCAAATCAATGCTGTCCAGCATAAATTTATGCCTTGGAATGGAACGCCTGATCAATATTCTTTATGCTCAGTTATGTGGCGAGTGGCAGCGGAGGATCCGGCAGTAGTAATGGGCTTCGGTGGTGAAAGAGGCGTCTGCATAGCGCTCATGCAGACCCTACCAGTGGAACATAGAAGTAGAGTGGGACCTTTTTTCGAGAAACAAGTTAAAGCAAAAGAATTTTACTCATGCTCACTTCTCGACGAATTTGACCGACATTTTGTCGACAGGGACCGAGAAGCTTAGAATCGACGCCTACTATACTCTGTGAGGCAAGGAAAAGCGCAACCTTTTGCGAAATTCTTACACATTTTCGAAGGCTATCTCAGCAACTCAGGTGATCTTGCTCCCATTGGAGTATCCAGAATTCACACTCTATCTGAATCAATAGCTCCGTATTTAAGCCGGGCTGCCGCTAATCAGACACACCTGGAAAAGCTTGACTATGAAAAGTACGTCGAGCAATTATCAATTCTGGCAACAAATTGGGAGTCCTTACCCGAATTTCAATATTTGAATATTGTTATAATGTGTGGTCTATGGGGATTACATTAGATTAGAGTGGCAGCTGTGTTGGGTGATATTCAGTGCACGGACACCTCAATCTTGTACATAGGAAAATTCTTCTCCTTGTTAGATCAATATAGTCTTCAATACACAACAATCAGACCACAAGGCTATCACATCCTGCGCATAATGCTAAACAAGAGCTTCAGCTCATTGACAACCGTAAGCTCATAATCACAACAAATATAGATGAAAAAGTAGAAACCTATACCGAAAATGCGATTGGAGACGTTCCATTAAGTATCCAGGAACAAGTGCGTAAAAAAATTGCGACTCAAACTCAAAGTCAACCACCGCCTCAGTCTCAGTTGGTTAGACAACAAACGCACAACTCTTCTGTACGTGATTTAGAGGGGGATGTTAAAATGTCGGGAACTGATATTTTTTCTATTGTCTCTACAGTTATATCAGCCTTGAATAATGAAAACAACTTTCGAATACAAGGATAGCCCCAGCCATTAGATAAACGTCCAAATGCCCCCCACTGTTCCGAAGAAGAGCGCAGCCAGCGTCTTAAATCAGGCCGCTGCATTCGGTGTAATATTTATGCATCTCACTGTTTCAGGGACTGCAAGTTTAAAGGCTTTCACACAGATACAGCCAACTCAAGGATAGCTAATGTATCATCAAGCGAGCCGGGAAACTAGTAACCCCTGAGCAAAGTCGGGTTCAGGGGAACATTGGTGTGTATGGAGAACTTTTAGATCAAGTACCACCTGCTAGAGAAATTAGTGATGCTATAAAAAGATTAAACAGTAGTCCCTTTTTAATTGATGTTTTAATAAATTCTACTTGTTTTTCTACCGCATTATTTGATACAGGATGTCTACCCCATGCAGTATTTGATCAAAAGTTCGCAAACCAGACGCACTTACCACGCCACCCAGTTACCCATAGATTACTAAAGCTTGCTAAAGATGGACCCCAAATTCTTATCACGGAGCTGACTTGGGCTACACTTGACATTGATGGCAGAGTTGAGAGAGTTTTTGGTTACATTGTTGAAAACTTACAATATAACATAATCCTCGGCAAAGGTTGGGCCGAGCGAAATAATGTGACCTATGAAGCAGGAAAAATGTTTCTTACCCTAGGAATTGGGGGAAATGCAACAAAAGTTAAGGAGTCTGGATGGATGGAAAGAGAAGATTTACGGAGTCATATTCATCAAATACGCCAGGCAAAAAACGTCACAGCTTGTTATAATAACGAGGTCATGAGGGGACAGAGGAATACCTGAAATGGATGCAAATGATTATGGATGCGCGGATATAATTGATATGACTGTAGTGTGAAGAAGCGTTGGAATGGAGAGTAGTGAGATGGTTATTTTACAATCTATTTGCGGAAGTATTGCTTCCTTATATATACATTCAGTACCCCAGTCCTGATCACGCACTCATTGCAGGTGCTTCCTACTTCTGTCACAGTAACCACTTCCATAGCCCCTGCCAATATCTCCTGTCATAACATACTATTGACACTGGTTGCTAGTGTGGAACTCCCGGGATTGCAGAGCTATACGCCATCGTCACATTATATGCTGTTGCCCCTCGGTAGCCATCAGAGTGATGTGCACCTCAGTCTAAACGCATTGGTCCACCAGGCAACGCTCGGATATAGGTGTTGAGCGGATTGGTTTGCAAAAGCTTGTGGCTGTTAGGCATAGATTGTATCACTTGGTGAAGCGAGTGGGAAAGTAAAGGAGTCTGTAAATCTGTCTTGGAGAGTTGTTAAGTACTCCCACTTGGACACAGAGTGCTATATAAACTATATTTTGTAATAATAAAATCTAGTGGTTGGTATTTACGTCAAAGCGCATTAATACTAACCTCACGATTAATGGGAGATTAGTGACGTGTCTTCTACACATCCCTGTCTTTACCATAATTGGAAGCACCAATTTCAACAGTAGGGATGTTGCCAGAGTGATTAGGTACTTAGCTGTGCTATCAGTGCCCTAATCTCATCTAGCTTACTGCAGCCGAGTGTCCGAGTGCCACAATGGTGAGAGCCTGATGAGGCTCGATCGGAGCTGACCCGAGGTATTCACAACACAGCTTCAATATTTGCTGCAGAAATCTGACGTGGAAGAAAAACAAATAAAAATCTATATTTGTTCTTAATTACCACAGCAGATATCAAAAAGGCTCTAGAAAAATTAGATAAATCAGTCAACAAGCAATCTGCGGAAGAATTGTCAAGCCAACTGCCTCCTCAGCTTCGACAACTGACAAAGAACTTTCTAGCTGATGAAGATGAGATCTTACCAGGATCTAAACCGGGATGGGACCATCTCATAAACCTCAACCTAGATAATGAAGGTAAACCCAAGGAACCTCCCTCTGGTCCACTTTACGGTATGTCACGAGACGAGTTGCTTGTCCTCCGGAAAACCCTTATAGATTACTTACGAAAAGGATGGATTCGTGCCAGCAGCTCTCCAGCAAATGCACCCGTTCTATTCGCAAAAAAACCCGGTGGAGGTATTCGATTCTGTGTTGACTATTGTGGTCTCAATTCAATCAAAAAAAGGGATAGGTACCCGTTACCACTAATTAAGGAACCACTTCAGCAACTCTCCAAAGCTCAATACTTCACTAAACTTGACGTTTGTACTTAATTTCATCGCCTGTGTATTTGACCTGGGGATGAATGGAAGACAGCGTTCCGGACAAGATATGGGCAATACAAATGGCTTGTCATGCCATTTGGACTATGCCGTGGGCCAGCCACTTTTCAACAGTACATTAATGCAGTATTACAAGATATTTTAGATGAATACTGCTCAGCTTACATGGATGATATTATCATATACTCTGATTGTGACTTATCCGGACATTACGAAAAAGTTGAAGGGGTCATAAGTCGACTCGAAAAAGCCGGCTTACGTTATATATCAATAAATGTACCTTTGCTACTTCCGAAGTCAAATATCTTGGTTTCGTGATTAAGGCTGGTGAGGGTGTTAGAGTTGATCCAGCTAAAGTGGAAGCTATCGAAAACTGGGAAGAGCCAACTAGAGTATCTGAAATCCGA